CCCCCTTCCCCTCCCCCATTTCTGAAGAAGGGTCTAGGCCCGAAACGTCAGCCTTCCTGCTCCTCTGATGCTGCTGGGCCTGCTGTGTTCATTCAGCTCTACACCTTGTTATCTTGGATCCCTGGTGACAGGCCTCCAGTCCGAAAAGCAACCCTCCTCTTCCACTCTCTGTCTCTTGCCATTAAGCCAATTATGTATCCAATTGGCAAACTCACCCCGAATCCCATGTGATCTAACTTTACTAAATATTCTACCATGCAGAACCTTGTTAAAGGCCTTACTAAAATCCAAACAAACAACGTCTGCTGCTGTGCCATCAATGTTTTTGGTAACTTCCTCAAAAAACTCAATCAAGTTTGTGAGACACAATTTTCCTTGCACAAAACCATGCTGACTATCCCTACTCACTTTTTGCCCGTCTAAATGTCCATAGATCCTATCTTTAATAATCACCTCCAATAATTTACCCACAACGCCATAGTTCCCTGGTTTCTCCTTACAACCTTCCTTACACAAAAGGTACAATATTAGCCACCTTCCAGTCATCAGACACCCCAACCATAGTTATAGATGATGCATATATTTCTGAAAGGGGTCTCGCAGTTTCCTCCCTTACTTCCCACAATGTTCTGGGACACATTAGATCAGGTCCCAGAGATTTATCCATCTTCATATTCTCTAAGACCTCCCAAACGTCCTTATCTGTAATGTGAACAGTTTTTAAAACATCAAGCCTTATTTCTCTGCATTCTCCAGACTCCATTTCTTTCTCCACAGTAAAGACTGAGGCAAAATATTCGTTTAGTATCTATCCCGTCTCCTGTGGTTCAACACAAAGACAAAGACAATCTCCATGATCTTTAACAGGATCTACCCTTTCTGTAGTTACCCTCTTGCTCTTAATGTATTTGTAGTGTCTCTCTGGATTATCCTTAACATTACCTGCCAAAGCTAGCTCATATTCCTTCTTTGCCTTCCTCATTTCTTTCTAAGAATGCCCCTACATGTCTAAAGATGCTGAATAAAGATAATCAACTGGTTATTTCACTGAGCCAATGAAACACTTTAGTCAGTTAATTTATTTGGATAGTACTTCCAAGTAGCACTTTCATTCAAGATATGTGGATCTTGTAGCATAGTGGTAGTGTTCCTACCACTGAGCCAGAAGGTTCATTTTTAAAAGCCCCACCAACCTCAGAGTTGAGAGATATCTGAATAGGTCGATGTAAAAATTTATTCATTCATTCATTCATTCATTCATTCGCAGGATGCGGATGTCACTAGCTGGGCCAGCATTTATTGCCCAGCTCACATTGCACTAGAGAAAAGGTGGTGAGAGTTGCTTTCCTAAACCATTGCAGCCTGTGCTGTATGTAGACTGTTAATGCCATTAGGGAGAGTTTCCAGGATTTTGACCCAGTGACATCAAACGAACTCAAGGTTTCGTATTTGCTATCTACAAATCTTTGAGGGATTTATTAATATCCTCTTGTAGATAGTAAAGCTGTTTCAATGGAGCATCAGTGGTGGTAGGTGTTTGAGGATGTGGTGCCAATCAAGCGGGCCACAACGTCCTGGATGGTGTCAAACTTCTTGAGTGTTCTTGGAGCTGTACTCATCCAGGCATAGTATTCCATCACACTTCTGACTAGTGCCTTGTAGATGTGGACAAGTTCTGGGGAGCCAAGAGATGAGGTACTCGCTGCAGTATTCCTAATCCCTGGCCTGCTATTATCCAGTTCATTTTCTGGTCAGTGGTGACCCCAGAATACTGACAGTGGGTATTCAGTGATAATAAAGCCACTAAATGTCAAGGGATAATAGTTAGATTCTCTCTTGATTTTTGTGTGTCACATGTCACTTTTTAACCCAAGCCTGGATATTGTCCAGGTCTTCTTGCATTTGGACACTGTCTGCTTCAGTACGACTCATCAGATTCCCTACTTCAATCTTTTGATGGAAGGAAGGTTATCAATGAAGTAGCTTAAGATGGTTGGACGTAGGACACTAGCCTGACAAACTGCCACACAGATGTCAGAGAATTGAGACAACTGATCAACAACCATTTTCCTTTGTGCTAGCTAGGTATGACTCCAACCAGTGCAGTGTTTTCCCTCTGATTCCCATTTACTCCAGTTTTGTTCACACTCCTCAATACCATAGTCAATTAAATGCAGCCTTGATTTCAATAGTGGTAATTATCTCACCTCAACCCTGGAATTCAGCTCTTTTGTCCTTGTTTGAACTAAGGCTGTACTGACGTCAGGAGCTGAGTGGCTCTGATGGAACCCAAACTGGACGTTAGTGAGCTGGATATTGCTAAGCAAGGGCAAAGCATGCAAATATATTACAAACGAGACGTAATATTTAGCAAACTTTGCCTCACCTTTGCGGCCTTGAAGTCGTCGCGTGAGATTAGTATTTGCAACATTTAAACTGTATTGCACTGCAGCTAAAACTATTAACTATCTCGTAAGCTTACTAGAGAGGAAGCTTAAAGATTAGGCCTAACTTGACATGTTCCAATGCTCGCAACAACTGTAAACAAATGACCAAAAGAAAACCACAACTGCCGCGAGGCAAGATAATAAAATCAAGTACGATCACTCTGCTGGTGCAGTTATGCTCAAGTAATGGTTCCTTCTCCTTTGAGGGGGCAATAGTAACCAGCATGAGTGGACCTGCAGCCAGCTCCAGGCTGCAGCAAGCAGGCCTGAGGCAGCAGCTCTCACTCATCTTGGCCACTCGCTCGCCCGACTGCCCGCCAGCCAGCCAGCTCCATCCTTACCAGCCGTTACAGCTACAGCACGCGAAGAGCACAGGAATGTTTATGGCCGTACCGAAGCCCTTGATTAGCTCTGTGAAAACTCCGGGATCACTTTCCATCAGGCACCATTCCCCGGCACTGCCCGCCATTTCTGCAACATGCACCTCCGACTCGCACGGGCTGGAAACTCCGGGAGTACAGGAGGACAACACAGCCTTCCCGGCACTCCCCGCGCCTTGGCCTCCCTC